TGTTACAGGTAGAAGAGCCGTGTGCTTTCCTAATCTTAATAACTATCTATTCCTAGACTTCAAATTCACTCTGTCAAATACAGAGCAGTCTTTTCAAAAGGAATGAGCTTCAACTGAGCTGCAGCTCCTTTACCAACTTCTTTCACAACCTCTTTGGTACGTAGCTTTCCACTGTCCTGCTACTGTACCTTCTTTGCATACGTACTTGGGCGTTTCGATCAGTCCGTCCTTCGCTAGCCAACACCTGCAGTACTGTATTTTTCCTAGCAAATCATTTCCCCATCTTACTTTACCGGTAGCCTAAGAATGCGCTGCTTCTGTAACGACAACAATAATCCTGACCGAAGAAGATAAGGATTCAGACACGCACAGCAATCACACTCAAATCACTCCGCTTCGTATCGTTTCATATTCCAATATCTGTGTTCACCAAAACTATAAACCGAAGGAATCGCTGTTACTATGTGGCGTGTCACAGCTGCTGGCCACAGACTGGGTGCAATAATAATGAAGAATACCAGTTAGACCAACGAACAAAGAACGAAATCAAAATATACAGCCTAAAGACAGTAGGTCCTTTCCCAACAATACAAAGTCCTGATGACAAAAACTAAAAAAACTAATCTGTGCAGTATAGTCATGGTATATGGTATGCCATGACCTCTACAGCCCAATATTGTTCAGATTTTTGAATTACTAGCAACTCAATTCATTTTCAGATTTGCCTACCCCAAACACCATTGACAAAAAGCCACCACCTGCTGCGGGCTTCGGTTCTAGTGATTGTGGACCAAGGCCACCTCCCACGGACTGTGAATGATCTTTGTACTGTTTGAAGTAGTCATTCAGATTTCCTTTGTTCATGGAAAATCGTAGTGCTTCTTCCTCCGGTAAATCGCTCACTTGGTCCTCGGCTGGTTCTGGGACCGCTCCTGGACCATCCATACCATTCTTGTCTTCTCCGTCGATTTTCAACAAAGTCGACCTTCGTTCCTTTTCTTCTTCTGCTTGCTCGTGATGATGCAGTTTTATTTCGGTTACCTTGTGAAAAGTTTCCGAATGCATTTGCTTCACTTTGTGCATCATGACAGCTTGAGATTGGCTCTTTTTCTGCCGAAGCTCCTTCATGTTTTCTTCTTCCCTCCACTTCTCGCGCTTCTCCTCGAACCATCCCTTGAATCGGATAGCAGCGGGTTCGGTCTCTGCTACGTCCGATCGGCTCTCTGCAATATACTTGGCGAACATTTTGTGCTGCTCCTTGAACAGATGTTGTGCCTCTTGAGACAATTTCGCTTCCTTCACGGCTGGTGTCTCAATGCCCAACTCCGAAAGGTGTTCGTCGGGAAACTGAAGGGCAAGTGTAGAAGAAACTGAATTGCCCAACTGACTTGAGCTGGATGTGAAATTGGAGTCTTGTGCGTCGCCGTCGTCTTCCACTAGTTGTGCGTCATCTGCTTCTTGTTTCAATTGCTCCATCAGTTGCTTCTCCAACTCTCGCCGTTGCCGCAATTCTTCTTCCTCTCTCATTTCGCGCAATTTTGCTTCTTGGATCACTTCTTCCGTGGTCTTGTGGTCTTCCACATCTGCGTACTGGACCTTATCTGGAATGTATTCATTGAGAATTTCATCAATGGAGGAAATTGTATTGTCCATGAACACGCAAGTGAATTCTTGGCGTTCCTTCACTTTGAAAATGGCTTCCTCCACCTTTTCTGCCATCTGATGTTCTTCTCTACTCCGTTTTTGTTGTCGTTGTTGGAGCTGCTGGTCGATCAAAAGCCCATCGAGAGATTCCATGTCGTTTCTTAATTTGTTCAAATGACCCTTGATGCAGAGGAATTCATTTTGCATGTATCGCAATTCTTCCGTATGAGACTGATGCCGATCGTTCAGAATGTCCTGTTCTTGTTTGAGATCAGTATTCTCTTGTTCTAAAGTGTCGATTCGATGTTGCATTTCCCGTTGCTGTTTGTGGTACATGTCTTTCCACTGTTGGAGCTCTGATTGCAAAGATTTCTGCACCACGGCTGGATCCAGGCCATTGCGGGAAACCAGCGCAGCATTGGCTCCCGAAGTAGACGATGTTCTACTGGATGTCGATCCCGACCGAGCGCTGGACGAAGATACTCGAACGGATTTCGTCGAAGACGATCGGCTGGTGACAGGTTTGGACATTGGATTTGGTGAATTGCCAATACTGGTGGCAACTGTTTCCATCGTAGAGTTGGACTTTTCTTCTTCTGGGATCGCCTTCATTTTGAAGCTTTGAGTTTACTGTGTTGGTTGAGCAGCGGAAAGATGACGATTCGACGCCTATGCAGTTGTGTTGCTGATGATATCTGATATTATCAGATGAGAAAATGAGAAAATGAGAAATCTTGCCTCAGGATTCTGATTGATTCAAGGGTGTTTGTACGGCAGTCAGACTTCTTGATCTGAAGTGGCTGAAGCTTCTATTGAAAGATACTGATGCCGAAATTGCAAGGAAATCTATGTTTGAGATGATGAACAATAAGCGTTCTTTATCTCAGAATAGAATTAGACGAAAGTGATTTAGCGGATGTTGCAACCCTTCAAATTGTTTCGCCTTTGATTGGATTTTCGCTTCAAGCCTGACTATCCCTCTGTGATAGTTTCAGAGTTGTTGCGCTGGAGTATGTGGATATATCTCTATTGATGAATAATACAGTAGGATGCTGCTGCTCAATGTTGGAATATTAGGAGGAATTGAAACATTCGTAATATTGCTTATACGCCCGTATCCGTTGGTATGTCTCATATCTACCGGTACCATACTACCGGGATGCCCGGATCTAGAATAATATTCGCTGAATCATCGTCAGCCAGCCAGTCGACGGTTTCAGGTTTGATCTTGGTGTCACTTCTCAGCACGGACTCACTCACTCACTCTCGCATTTTTGACGCTCCAAACTGAAAACCTACCACTTTCGAAATCCGACGAATTCGGGGAGTCTTTATTTCGCCTCTGTATTTAAAGACTCGGATGCCAGAGACCCAAAGACTTATAGAAAACGTGGCATCGTTACCTTATTTCTGTCGCACCAGAGTCACGGTCGCATTCCGAAAAAAGCATAAACTGGGAAAAGAATGACGAATCATCTGAGTGACGCTGTGATTGGAGCTGCATATATTGAATACCGTATGCCTACAGTTTTTATCATCAAACTTTTGCACGAACGATATCAATATACGGCACACGAATATATTCTCTATCATCATATCCCTCCAACATCCTAACATCAACCAATATACTAAAGGAATAAACATAGTGAGCAGTAATCTACTCCCTTTAGCGCCGATACATGACGAAACATTTATTACTTGACTTGGGGAGTGATTGTTGAGGAGTGAGTCGTCGTGTAAGGGAAACTTCTGAGGATTTTCAGACGAGACATCATCTTATAAAATACTGTCAGTCAAGTTTTTGGTGGTGGGACACGGTGGCTTCAGTTTAGTAATTGCGAGACAGTCAGGCAATTGGATTGAATCAAAGAAACTGACATCGCCATGGCTCAGGACTCAAGATCTGCCAGTGCTGAGGAAAATGAATTGGACCTGCTGAAACGAAAAATACGAAAGGTCGAGAAACTTCTGCAACAAGATGACAACGGCCAAACAACCGAGGCGGCTCGCAGTCTTTCAAGAAAGCTAGCTTCCTACCAAAAGAGGCTTCCAGCAGCGGAAATGGCGGCCACGGAATCGAAGCAAAAACGATTGAGACGATTGTCTGGGAATAGTAAAAATTCGAGACGGAGCACAGCCCAAGCGTCAGCAGCCAAGGAAGCCATGGCAAAGTTATTGACCGATGAGGGTAAAGAACGAGTAGAAACCGAGGCAGCAGCGGCGAAAAAAGCTAAAGAAAAGCGATTAGCTCAAGAGACTGAAGCCGATGCAGCAGCAAAGGAAGCCGAAGCAAAGCGATTAGCAGAAGAGGCCAAGAAACGACGAGAAGAAGAAGCTGCAGCGGAAGCAGCAAAAAAGGCTGATGCTGACGCGAAGAAAGCCGAAGCAAAGCTATTGATAGAAGAGGCCAAGAAACGGCAACAACAAGAAGCAGAAACAGTGAAAAGGGCTGCATCTGTAGACCACGACAATAACACCACTGATGACGATGACGATGACCATGGGGAAACAACGAGGAAGAAAGGGAAGAAGAAGAAACGGGCATCATCTGTAGCTGGAAAGAACAAGAAGGAAAAAGGAAAGAAGGAAAAGATAAAAAAGAAGAAGAAGAAGAAGAAAGATGCTGATGGGGCTTCGGGATCGTCCGATGATGACGATGTAACTGCACAAACGGAACCAATGGGAACTTCAGAATCATCGGCTGTTGTGGAAGAAGAGGACAAAAAAGAAACCACAAAGAAGAAGCGAAAGTCGCGATCACTTTCTGCGTCCAGGCGAGCCTCTTTAGCAAAACCAGACAAGAAAAAGTCAAATTCCCTGGCAACGTCCAACCGAAGTACAGCCTCGGCACCAGCAAAAACAAAAGATGACGACGATGATAAAGAAGAGAAGCCGGTAAGACGGATGATGAAACGGAGCAACTCCGCAGATCCAATAAAACGAAAGTCAGAATCCAAAACACCCAAGCGAAATTCCATTGCCAAAATACCCAAACGGAAATCAACATCCAAGACGCCAAAGCGAGACTCTATATCCAAAACGCCAAAACGAGATTCCATATCCAAAACACCCAAACGGAAATCAGCAGCCAAACCGCCAAAAGAAGAGGACTCGGAAATCGAATCACCAACATCGCCCAAAAAAGCGAGTTCAGCATCCAAATTACCCAAGCGAGGCTCGGTAGCAAAGAAACCGAGACGGAAATCTGAAACCAAACCACCAAAACGAAACTCGGAAGCGAAAAAAACAAGGCGAAAAATCAAGTTGGAGAAAAATAAGCCAAGTTCTTCGTCTTCCATAGGAGCGGAAACAGCAAAGTTTCTGAAGAAAATGCCAGTGCCACCGAAAGAAGCAATGATACGAGCAATGTATCGCAAGGCTTCGGCTCCAGCAATAGAAGTCGAAGACGATGAGAGTGAGTCAGGGTCAGAGTCGTCTTCCAATTTGGAGGAAACAGTAATCCAGTCAAGGATGAATTTGATGATACCGCTGCCCAAAAAACCACCACAAGAGGAAAAGGAACCGGACTACCTCGACGAAGACTTTGTGCCAAAGACATTCGAAGAACACAAGGCGATGGTGCTTGCAAGGGCAAAACGGGATGCCGAAAACGAAGAAACACAGCATAGACGACGTGTGGAAGCGGCAAAACTGCAGGCCAAGGCCGAACTGGAACTGCAAAAGGCAGAGACGCTGGCGAGACTGCGAAAGCAACGGCAAGAACGAGAACAGAAGGAACAGATGAAAGCAAAAATGAGAACCAAGTCTTTCGACGAAGACAATGAAGCATTCTTTGTGGATATCAAGAATATGAATGACCAGCTAATGCAGAGAGCTCAAGAATTCAAAGAATCCTTGGAAGAACAAGAGAGAAAAGGAATGATCATGTTGCGGCCACGGGGGTCCATGGAGAAAGGTAGCAACCACACTCCGAACAGACGACCGCCCCCGCCAAATCGCAACAACTCGCTTTCATCCTCCAGCAGCTCAGACTCGGACTCGAGTTGAAATCTCGAATAAATCATGTGACAAGTACCATGTACCAAAAGGTATCGTTGTTGGCTAACGAAATATAGATGTATTGATTATTGAAATATTTTGACTTTGATTAAAACCCACGAATACTGGAGGTGAAGACAACCGCACAATTCAATGATTCTTGTTGTTTGTGCATTCGTTGTGTACCGGTATGCTCTATTGTACAATAGTTGTAATGCAGCCTATAACCTATAACTTATAACCATCAAGATGATTCATCATTCGTCGTTGGCGCGGTTATCGTGCTGTCGTTGTGACTCCACGTCTAGCATTTGTCGTGGTTTCGATTGGCTTTAGCGACCACAAGCTTCGCTGATTGTATATTATTGAAGAGACAGCCTCATATGTAGTGAATGTTATCGCTTGGCCAGGCATGATACGAAGCAGTCTCGGCGTGATGCCCTTCCAAAGGGAAGCAACTCCCTCTTCTTTTGAAATCACATAGCACGCTTGCATCAATCCCGTGTATTTCGGTGCTTGGTTATCCAATACCACTTGCTTTTGAAGTCGAGTCTTGACCACATCCACCTGTTCATTGAAAATAAAATGACATCAACACGTTAAAATTGCGGCATTGAAATAAATCGAGGAATCGATGATGAATTCGCAACTTGGAATACTTACTGGGTTGTTAACCAAGGGTCCCATACCACCACTCAAGCCTCCAATGACCATGGATTGCCATGAAGCAAGCTCTGTCTTTCCTTCTTCTTTCAATACCCTCGTCTTCACCGCATTGTAGGCAGTAAAGTTCACAGCTTGATTACACCCTTGACGAAACATGGTTGGCAGGACTCCCTTGTAGAGAGCACCAGCACCTTCTTCTCTGACAATGGTATAGGCCGCATGAGCGACGTTCTTGAATTGTCGATTGTTTTCACTTTGCATTCGTATCTTGCAGACCTCAGCGGGAGTCACCACAAGAATGGCTTCCGTCAAACCAGCAAAGAGTCCAGCTGTGAACGTGGCACTACTGGTAGATCGGCCTAATGTTGTGTAGGATGATAAAAAATCCTTGTATTGCTCAAACGTGAAGAACCGTATTGCCATTTTAGGTATGATTCCAGTATAGACAGCCGTTAGACCTCTGTAAAGTGCGAGGAAACCATCTTTCTGAACGATCAAACGTGCTGTTCCGATCGGACCAAAATCGCTCAATAAAGCAACTCTTCTCGTGCTTGCAGTTGAAAGACCACGTTTTTTGACTCTATTGAAGCTTAAGGATTCCCTCAGCGTCGGTTTTCTTCTTGTCGATGAGCCTGAGCCTGAGCCTGAGCCTGAGCCTGAGCCTGAGCCGACAGATGAGGAAGCAGAAGTCTTATTGTTTGAATCGTCCTTCAGGTTGTTGCTTTGAAGTTGCATGACTGTCTTAACAGTGTCTAAAGGATGGCAAATACTCGATTCTACGAGTCCAGCGCAGCCACCAGCTATCAAATGCTGATATGGGCTCATTCGATTTCTATTCCTCGTTGCTTGCGGCATCTTGTTGACCTTATATTCCTTCAAGATTCGTAAGACAATGCTATATAATATATAATCAAATGGCCACTCTTTTTTGTTTTTTTCAGATTATTTTTCCTCCATTTATCCAAAAGGTGGGTCATTCAATTTGGGAATGGCAGGCAGGCTTTTGCATTCGTCAAATACAGTACTGTCTCGTACGTACAAATAGTTCTATCTGGAGGTTGCTGGCGCTAAAAATACCATTCCGTTGTTTTATGTGCATCTCTTTGGTGCCACGCCAGATCGCCAATGTGATTGGATCGGTGTCAATCGGAAGCTTCGTTTTGCATTTCAAAATGTGGGTACGAATGAAGAATGAATGAGGTTCGAAGTATACGGATACCATCCGAGTACAAAAGAAGGGAACGCAAGACAACAACACAAATACTTTATTTTAATAGCTCATCAATCACGAAAGAATATGATCACTAGCAGAGTAGTAGAAGTTGAATGAGTTTTTTGAAAGTAAAATTTACAACCACGAAGACAACTCGGCATGAACGCGTGGCATTTCATGAATCTACCGCAAGTACTGTAGCATCTCTGGGCCTCTGTTCTCGACGACTTTTTTGACGAAGAGGGTTCAAATGTATTTTATTTACTGTAGTCTAAAAGTCTAAAATAGTTATTGGGTCTATGATTTGTTTCGTGACCTCGAAGCGTCTCTAAACGCCACCGCTGCTCCGAAGCCTCCTGTCGCTCTTCTTCTTGCTCTTGTCCTTCTTGCTTTTATCATCCTTATCCTTCTTGTCGTCATCCTTGTCCTTCTTATCCTCTTCGTTCTCTTTGGGAGTTGGAGGCGGAGGGAGAACGGCTGCAGTCTCCTCCGGAGTCGCTGGCGGGTCAAAGATGAGAGGAGGAGGAGGACTAGCAACCGTATCTTCGTCCCTTTGGGTATCAGTGGTAGGAGGAGGAATAGCAGGTGTACCGTCTGCCGGGGGATCAAGAATGGCGGACCCCGCCATGGTATTACCTGATGACCCTGGACATGGTGTAAAGGATCCTTCCAACAAGAATTTGTCAATGCCCTGAATGATACCATCAGCACCATTGCCAGCCATATCGGGAGTAGTCAATAGGCCATCGTTCACTTTGACCATGAGATTTTCCACTAGGACACGAATCTTGGTGCCCCCAACAGTGTCCAATTCCATGCAACCAGCTTCGGCAAAATCTCGAAGGGTGTAGATTCCTTTGACGACATGGGCAGAGAAAATACTACCGATGTCACGCATGTCGGTCATGACGAGCATATCATACATAGCGTTGTAGGCATCATCGTTTGGCGCAAAAATGGCTGAAAGTAGAAAGTAGTTGGAAGTGAGGAAGGAAGGAGGATGATATGAGATTTTGTTTTGAGCAAGGCACAGGAAAATAGCTGCAACGATCATCATCATCATGCTTCATCATGCGTCATGTTGTTGAGTACTTACTGACGGGATAGTGTCGTGCAATGGTATCCATTACGCCTGTGGATCTGGTGATGGAACTTAGAAGAAGACCATATCCACCTCGTCGCCATGCTGCATCGTACATGGTACCCCTTACGATTAAAAATGGGTCAGGATTTCCATATAGAAATGCTTGTTCCACATACCCATTGCGGCATGGACGGAAGGTACCTGCAGGGATGACACGGTCAATCCCAAGAATATTACCTCCAGAACCGGCAGCATCATCACAAGTCACAACGGCATCGTTGATCTCTATTTGACCGTTCGCGTAACGGACACGAAGTTGTTCGCCTGAAAGAGAAGTAAGCTCGACACACTCATTCGCAATAATGTCAGCAGTTGTATACACTCCTGGCACTACATGTCCAGCCAAAACATTTCCCAAGGTAGCTGGATCCAAGTTTCCAGCGGATGAAAAGGCGCTGTCGGTGGGGCCAAAGATGGCTGATGATGAACAAGAAGAAAGAAAGAAAGACAAAAGAGTGTGAGAAACGAGTCATGGATTGGTGTTGGAACTTTCATTGAGGTCATCCTTCATATCATGCAAAGGAGTACTGCACTGCACTGAACTGCACTGCACTTACTGACTGGAAAGCTGGAAATGAGAAAAGTCTTTACGCCTGGTGTAGTATCGATAACGCTCAAAAGAGTTTCATGCGGACACGAATTGCCTCCGGCTATCTCAAAAATGTTTTGTGGTAGGGTAGGCCTTGCGGATGTGGGTTGTGGAGTTGGTGCTGGGGTGGGATTAGGGGTTGGATTGGGCGTTGGATTGGGCGTAGGATTAGGTGTTGGATTTGGATTGGGTGGAAAGACAATGGGTTGGCCAGGTTCGTCATTACGATCAGGAGTAACCGGTGCACTGATAGGACGCTCCGTGGGTCGAGGAGTGGGTCGCTGAGTCGGCTGTGGAGTGGGCCGTTTTGTAGGCGAAGGAGTGGGTCGAAGTGTAGGAAAAGGAGTCGGTGGCCGAGTGGGCGGCCGAGTCGGTGGTGGATTCCCAATAGGAGGAGGTGTTGGAGGCCAAACAGGAGCATCTGTTGTTGGCACTACGATGACATCCGGTGCTTCGGTCCCATCACGGTTGAATTTGTCATGTTCTGTCGGACGTGGAGTAGGACGGGGAGGTTCTGTCTTGCCAAGATCAGCAGCAACCGATGCGATGTTGCAAAGAAAGAGAGGGATCAATAACTTCATGATCGTCTGAATTCTGCTGAATGTCCGATTTTTTAATTTTGTGGGAAAAAGGTGACGATGGTATTGGTATGACCACTCTGTAGCAACCGCGTATTGAGACTTTCTCAGTTCAGAAGTTTAGAAATTTGTGGTGCAAAACTCTGCCATTTTTTGGCATTCCAATTGGTCGAGGAGAGACGCTATCGGAGCGTCCCGCACTGTTCTCCCGCCGTTCCCTCTACCGTATGCAATCCACACTACGACAATGAGACCTTCATGCTTCTTGGGGAGAAATCGAGCGCTTTAGTGTCTAAACTCATTATGGTTGAAACATTATATGTTTTAGTGTGATTGACTGACGACCTCAAAGAATTGTATGTCTAAATATTTGAATAAATAAGCGGAAGAAACCCCGTTCTTTCTGCTTCGTTTGAATTGACTGTCATGTAAGTTTAGGTGAATTCTTTCCGTTATCGACTCTTGGTCGATTGGTTCCTCACCATCCAGCCAGACCCCAAATTGAATACAGTATCTGAAAAAGGTGTCAATGAATGAAGGCCATTTGGACTAGAGTACCTGGTACACGTACCTTTTAAGAACATGGGATGGAGCGGGAGGCTCCGTATTGCGACCAGTTGGACCGACAACAAAAGCAAGGAAAAACCACGCACGTGATGGAAGACGAAGAACAGATGGCGTCAACTACAGAGTGCTGGTAAGACTCCCATTAATCGGTTCAAATTCAAAAAAAAAATTATCAACTTTCCCGCCGTCACTTCCATCCCAATAAGACTCATCTCATTTTCTGCAATTAAAATAATTAAGACTTCCAACAATAGATACTCCGGAAAATCTGGGATTTCTCACTCTTTCTAAAAATCTAGAACGTTCACATAGTGAAATGCAGCGTTCTTTTACTTCCTTTGCATCGAACTTGATACGATTGGATGGGAAAGAAGGAGTCCCAGCTCGATCGGACACCCTTTACCAAGAGTCAACAGAATACTGTCACGCAGTCACGCTGTCACATTGTTAAAAGTGTCGCCTGCAGTCTTGAATTCATCCTGTGGCACATGCAACATCTTGAGAAAAGTGTTTCATCAACACCCTCCATCTATCATCACACGAACAGTACTCAATTCTTGGATCCAATCGAATCATGCATTGGAGATCTGGCGTGGCACCAACGAGCGATTGCAAAACAAACCTCAAATCGATGACAGCTTACAAGTACTCTAGGTTGACGTGAGTCGTTGCTTTTTGTTCTTACCCAAACACACTACGTGTACTTTCATTAGGCATCACGTGATTGATGTCCATGATGCAATGTGAAGCTTCTTTTTTCTTTTTTAAATTGAAACTTTCAAAATTCTGTAGTGTGATGATGATGAAATGAAGTTTGTTGAATGTCACAAGTGAGTCGAGCAAGGGACGCAAGAAGTCAACGCATACAGTACAGTCACTGCGACAGTGACGATACCTGTTCGATTGGAAGAAGGCAAATCCAGTGGAAGAAGACCCTTTGACAATCCATCCTGTGTGAGAATGATCCTAAAGTACGCCTTATTTCGAGGCTCCAACAGTGACATGTGTCAGGCCCCATTCATTTGGTGGAAAGCGAATCCTTCGCTCGGCACTTAATCTTATTGTGAGATAGTTTTTACTGGTACTACTACTACTACAGGTTCTACTTCCGATCCAGTCGTCTTCTTGCCCTTTTTGATGCGAGCACTGTAATGGCTCATACCAAAGAAATCCTAAACAACCCCGTATGACAGAGAAGAAGAGGGCACAGTTGTTTTTCTATTCTACAAGTCTACAATAATAGTTATAATATGATTCTTTTATATATTCTTTGTGCATCTATATCGTGGGCATTTTCGTTCAGTCGTATCCTCCACGAAGCCTCCTGTCATCGCTGTCCTTCTTGCTCTTTTTGCTCTTGCTCTTCTTATCCTTGTCATCGTCCTCATCCTCTTCGTTCTCTTCGGCAGTAGGAGGGACAACCGTTTCAGTCTCTTCGGGAGCTGGCGGGTCAAAGACAAGAGGAGGAGGAATAGCAGATGTATCGTCTCTTTGTGCTGGGGGATCAATAATGGCAGATCCTGCCATGGTATTACCTGACGACCCTGGACATGGTGTAAAGGATCCTTCCAACAAAAATGTGTCAATGCCCTGAATGATACCATCAGCACCATTGCCAACCATATCGGGAGTAGTCAATAGGCCATCGTTCACTTTGACCATGAGGTTTTCCACTAGAACACGAATCTTGGTGCCCCCAACAGTGTCCAATTCCATGCAACCAGCTTCGGCAAAATCTCGAAGGGTGTAGATTCCCTTGACGACATGGGCAGAGAAAATACTACCAATGTCACGCATGTCGGTCATGACGAGCATATCAAACATAGCGTTGAAGGCCTCATCGTTTGGCGCAAAAATGGCTGAAAGCAGGTGAGAGAAGAAGCATAAGATTGTATCAGTTCACAACGATCATCATCACAATGTTCATTATGCTTCATCTTGTTGAGTACTTACTGACGGGGTAGTGTCGTGCAATGGCATCCATTACGCCTGTAGATCTGGTGATGGAACTTAGAAGAAGACCATATCCACCTCGTCGCCATGCTGCATCGTACATGGAACCAAACGGCATGGTTTCGGGGTCTGGAATACCAAATTGGAACGCTTGTTCCACATACCCATTCCGGCAGGGACGGAAGGTACCTGGGAGGATGACACGGTCGACCCCCAGAATATTACCTCCAGGACCGATAGCATCGTCACAAGTCACAACTGCATCGTTGATCTCTATTTGAGCATTCGCGTAACGGATACGAAGTTGTTCTCCTGCAAGGGACATGACTTCAACACACTCGTTGGCAATAATATCAGCGGTTGTGAGCACTCCTGGCACTACGTGTCCGGCCAAGAGATTTCCCAAGGTAGCGTCATCCACGTCGCCAGCAGATGCAAAGGCGCTGTTGGTTGGGCCAAAGATGGCTGATGATGAACAAGAAAATGAAAAGAGTGTGAGAAACGAGTCATGGATTGGTGTTGGAACTTTCATTGAGTTCATCACTGATTCATTTCATGCAAAGGAGTACTGTACTGTACTGTACTGTACTGCACTGTACTGCACTGCACTTACTGACTGGAAAGCTGGAAATGAGAAAAGTCTTTACGCCTGGTGTCGTATCGATGACGTTCAAAAGAGTTTCATGTGGGCACGAATTGCCTTCCGCTATCTCAAAAATGTTCTGTGGTAGGGTAGGCCTTGCTGTAGTGGGTTGTGGAGTTGGTGCTGGAGTGGGATTTGGAGTGGGTGGAGGAAAGACAATCGGTTCGCCAGGTTCGTCATCGCGATCCGGCGTGACAGGACGCTCCGTGGGTCGAGGAGTCGGCTGTGGAGTGGGCCGGTTTGTAGGCGAAGGAGTGGGCCGGTTTGTAGGCGAAGGAGTTGGTCGCAGTGTAGGGAAAGGAGTGGGTCGAGGACTCGGTCGAGGACTCGGTCGAGGAGTCGGTGGCCGAGTCGGTGGCGGATTCCTAACAGGAGGAGGTGTTGGAGGCCAAACAGGTGCATCCGTTGGTACTACGATAAAATCCGGTGCTTCGGTCCCATCACGGTTAAATTTGTCATGTTCTGTCGGACGTGGAGTAGGACGGGGCGGTTCTGTCCTGCCAAGATCGGCAGCAACCAATGCAATGTTGCTAAAAAGGAAAAGAGGGATCAGTAACTTCATGTTTTTCTGAATTGTGATGCCTTTCCAATTTTGCATTTTGTGAGAAAGGCATATAATGTACGACTCCCAATATTATTTAATACGTAATCGGTTCAAAATTCAAAAAGATACTTATCTGACTCTTCCCGCTTTCAAATCCAAGTCCCAATTCAAAATAAGACTAACAACATTTTCTTCTAACAAAATACTTATCGCAAATGTAAATAGATACTCCGAAAGATCTTGGAATTCACGATATTCCCAGAGAATCTCGTGCTTCACATATGCAAACGTTGTTCTTATCGAACTTGATACGACTGAATTGGGAAAGTTGCTAACTCCCACATGGCTGGATTGGATTGATCGGACAATCCTTTACCAAGAATCAACAGAATACTGTCACGCTGTCACACTGTCAAAACTGTCGCCTGCAGTCTTGAATTCAGCATCTGATATCTCACACATGAAGAAACGGTACAAAATGGATTCCAACACCAGTCGTGCTCAGAATGATAAATCATGTCACGCATGACGATCACGTGCCGTCTTATACCAGTGTGAAAGTACACGTGTGTGGAAAAGAACATGCCGGTATACGTATCGGTACACGTGTACCGGTATATCGGAATGAAAGATGTGGTGTGTGTTTGTAAGATTCGTAGATGATGATTGATGGATGATGCATGATGGATGCAAGGAGGAGCGTTGCTCTATGAACTGAAGCGAAAATATCCATTTGCCTGACACGTTGAATTGTTGAATATATGTTTGTTTGTTTGTTCGTTTTTTTTAAATAGGACTGGTGGTTGGGAAAGTGATAATTTGAAAAGAACCTCCGTATGGCTGCTTTTCCTTCCAAAACTAAAACGATGCCAATCACCGCAATCGGTACTGTTGTGTTGATTCTCCGCCTGAAGCTTATTTTTGAAATTTCAAAATGATGGTATTGGAGAGAAGTTCCAGACAGAGATTACGTGTTGGACTCAGGGGGGGAAGCAATACGACAACACATGCAGCCAGTTAGTTTCAAGTTGCACATTTATAAAATAACGAAAGAGTGGTATGCACTATAGTCCTCTATATAATAATAGCACGCACCACACATAATGAGCAAAAAGTGAAAAGATTTTTGATAGTTAATTTACAATGGTAGCTGTATAACGCGCCGATGGTGCATTGAACTAGTATGTGTGCAAGTAAGTTGAAAGTCATGTGGACCATCCTAATGGCTGCGTCTAGAGTCGCGATGTCCGCTTCCTCACGGTTGTCGTGCGTGTCGTGTCATGTCGTACCTTTCCACCCATTCCGCATATAGCGTTGCGTTTCAAAAAAAGTAATATCGATGGACATTGGACATTGGACATTGGTTATATGGCAGTGTTGATGTGACAGTTTTTGACTCGCTTGATGCGAACATTTGCAATCACTTGAATCTCCCCCTTGGAGTTGACAAAGGATTTCTTCAGATCTTGCAGTGAAAAGAACTTCTTCCATCCCCAACCATAATGAGAATCTTCAATGGATGCATCGTCCACAAATACCTTGACGGCGTCATCGTTGCCAGTAATCGATTGAATGACAATCTTACTTCCACCAATCATAATTGGAACATAATTCAATCCGCCCGTGTGCATAATGTAGAAGCCAACATCTCGATTCCCTTCATCGTTGGTACCAAATATTTGCATTTCCAAAGTCATGGAGTATCCCGCCACATTGAATTCTTCCGAAGTGTAGGTAGTCAGATCATTCTGCAACGTCTTTTCAAAATCCTTGATATCCCAAGTCACTGTCAAAGTATCCCAATCCCGAAGCTCTTCCATACTGTTGGTAAACTCTCGACCAACTTGCGAAAGGCTCGTTTGGTATGATTCTTCCAGCGCCTTGACCTTGTCATCGTAATTTGTCTTGACCCCAGAAAGCTCCGTTTTCAGACTGTCCAGTTCCGCTTGGATTGTCATCTGGAACGAGTCTTGGCCATTGGTTCGGAGAGATTCTTCCAAATTGGCAATCCGTGATTCCATGGCATTGACTTGGCTTTGATCAAAGGCAGAAGCCCTTGGAATTTCGACAGCTGGAGGAACCACGGCGGCTGGAGTCTCAACAGGTGGAGGAGCTACGGCTGCTGGGTTTTCGACTGATGGTGGGACTGTGGCTGCTGGGGTTTCGACAGATGGAGGAACTGCTGATGCGTATGCCGGTGTGCTGGCGGAAGTAGTACTAGTACTAGTACTAGTACTATTGCTAGTTTCCACAGATGGCGTTGTTTGCGCCACATTTGGAGTAGTGTTGGGGCTACTACTGGTGGTGGTAGTGCTCGGATTCACAAAAGCACTGCTGTAACCATCTTGGGGATCCACCTCGGGCGGAGAGACACCCCTGACAAAAACGTCTTGTGGGTCTGAATTGACACCATTGACGAAAACTCCTTGTGGATCTGGATTGACAACAGTCGTTGGGGATCTTGGAATATCATAACCCGTGTACCCATTGGGATCTGGCCCTGTTGATACGGTCGGATTAAATGGAGCGGCTTGTCCAGTTTGTTGGGCTTTGTAGTAGTCACCCATGTTGGAATTGCCGACACCGCCGGTCGATTGTGTCCATTGCTTCGCTTGTTGCACGTAAGGATCGTCAGACCGCTTGCCTTGGTAGGCTTCGTAGAAGTTATCATTTGCTCCATTGGGTTTCATGGATGGTCCAGGTTGTGTTTGTGCTGTGTACGATTGTGGTGGTGGTTGTGATCGAGGCATGTGTCCGGGTCCACCACCACCGCCACCACCGCCTTCGCCATAAGGACTGTAGAAAGGATCCATATTGTCGATACCAACGTCAAACCTTCCCTTTCGCGGACCTCCACCAGCAGAACCACCAGAGGAAGATTGGGTCTGATGGGATGAGTAGAACGAGCTGTCGTTGACCATACCATCCGTGGTGGCATGATGCTGATGAACCCAATCCGAAGCACCGGGAGGAACAGTTGATTTCATATTTTGAGTATTTGGCATTATTTCATCCATCATTGAAGGCCTTGACGAAGTATTGGCCTTTGTGTTGGCATTGGCGTTGGTAGACGACGAAGAAGCAGATGATGAAGGGGATTCAGCAGTAGTTCCCACTGTCGATCCTCCAGATACATTCACTGTATTCGTGGTCACTGTTGGTTCATCTTTAGCAGTTCCTTCGTTTGCTTGCGTTGTTGGTTGACCTTCAACCTCAACATCAATGATATAGTCTGGAACAATAATCCCCAAGACGGCACCAACATCCAATGCTTGTCCCGGTTGTTGATAGATTGCAGCCAAGACACCATCAACATTAGCATGAACATCTTGATTCGTTCTGTATCCCCTTGCCCCCTGAGATTCCTTTTCGCTTTCAATAACCATGATTGGATCTCCCTTTCGTATAGTATCGCCAGTTCTGACCAGCCATTCTACGATTTTTCCTTTTGTCATGGCAGCTGAAATTGAAGGCATTAGAATCTCTTTTGTTCTCGCCTTGTCTTCCTCCTTAATAGGGCTTTCACGCTTGGTATTATTGGACGACTCTTTGGCATGACCAGTGACTTCCACGTCAATAAAATCCATGGGCGCCATAGGAGACTGAAAGGAAAGGCTTGATCGTCTTCTGTGAAAAGTGTCAGGCTGAGAAATCCAGCCAATCGCATCGTTGAGTAGCGCTGAAACGGCTATCGAAAGAAGTAATCTTCTCATGGTTCAGGTTTCAATATATAAAGACTCTGATGTTGAAGCGAAGTATGCTTTCTGGTAAAAGCCTACAAGCAAAGTGTTCTGATATAAGAAAGAAGCTCTCGCTTTCTTTCTCCAACTATTGTCAGCTGATGGATGGGAATCTGCGATTATCTCCCGCGCTACGTATGTCCTGCCATACGTTCTTTGAACCCGCAATCGCCAGAACTCTACACAAGCTTGCCAGCTGAAACAAATTGAAAATTTTGGGCCAACCAGAAAAGGTAGAAATGAATTGGATGACGCAAGAGATGTCTCCCCATAAGTAAGGTTAGTTGTGCGACAACTAACGTTTGTTTTTCGCCAAAATACATTTTTCAAACCAGCTGCCGAACGCATCATGTGTGACGTGACATGATGTGACAGACATATTATATATCTACCATACCGCAGTACATAAAATCTGATAGAAATTTACACATTGGTATCTTTCATTGTTGTCTGGTCTGAGCTAAATGGAGAGATCAATCACTATTGTGGCAACGATTGTAGAACAAAGATGACTATAAAAGAATTAGCTGCTGCGATGGCTATTTTGATGATTGACGACCTTATTTGTCTTGTTGACTGTGAATAAAGGCGAGTTTGGTGAACTGATGGTCTGGGTATATTGAAAATGACGACAAGACTTTCATAATCAGCCTCATCACTGTTTTACATGGAGGACTGCGGTAGCTTTCTTTTTGAGTCAAGGTTATGGTGACGTGCGCATCTGAAGCAAAAGACTGCGATTCATTCAGTGCGGGTGACTACAGCTATCGTCCCTCCATTTTCTTTTCCAAGAAGACTAGCTAGGCCAGTTCACAACAATGACCAAAGTCTCAATATATGGCATGGCTGTAATGATATACCGACGCATTGGATATCTCAAGAATCGGAGAACGCTATACAGTTCTGAGGACAAGATGGCAATATTCTGAACCTTCATGAAAGCATCTTCAGTCAAGCAGGCAGAGACGGCGCTTTGAAATTTCCCTGTGTTTTTTTCTTCTGAATCGTTGTATGTGACTGTCTTGTCGCTTTCGCCTTTTTGTTTTTCGCATCAAAACCAAGGATGTCAAAAGAACAACAATGGGGATAGCTGGAGGTGGGTGGTGTGTTTCTTTGGCGGGACTACTAGATAGCTACCGTACTGTAGTACTAGCAGGGGTACATGAACTTCCATCTATGATTTGGATTCTTCTATCCAAACTGACCGCATATACACCAGCCCATATTATGACTGTTGCAACCATGAGATACAGACATTATTTTTATGATGGTACTTGTTTATAACTTCCCACACACTATAATAGAGTTCAGCATACCGAAAAAGGGAAACAATAACAACGACAACGACCAGCACTTTCCACTGACTTGAATCTAACGATTCTCATCAAGCCGATGTACTTTCAGACTGTGAGAGGCTTTTTGAATGCTGACTTATATACCGATACAGTACACGTACAGTGACAGGCAGGTGAGCAGCAACAGACATGTTGCCATTGTTGATGGTGGAACGAGTGAGTCTTTGCACAATAATTTGAGAAAGGTATAATTGATATAGACGCAGATTCAAAGTCAGTCACCTTTTTCGTGAATTGGCAGAAGGAATAAATGCTGGGGGTGAATAATAGAGCAGAAATATATTTGAGAATAGTAATATTTGTCATCACGACTATTATCGAATTCCTCATGGTGTGGTGATTGTCTTGTCGCATCTTCAAAGCGCTTCGCTCGTGGTGACCAGGAAGGGGCGATTTGATCTAACGGACTTGCACAAAGGCTTGAAGAACGGCTTCATCCTCGCGACTATGATTTTTTTGTAGTTGCTTTTGGTTCAACCATGTAGAAACTGTGTCTTTCCTCATGGCGACGTCGCAAATTCGCTTCCCGTGCTCCATCATGACATGCCACGGCAAATCACTCTGGTCCAAGTGGTAGTAAGTGTACATTAGTGAAGCCAAGTCGTATTCTGGCTTAGCTTTACTTGGGCTCCTCGCTTTTACAAGCAGTTCATTGTGAGCGTAAGGTACACAGCCCCTGAAGAAAATCTGTTTATCATCCGTGACTGCAACACCCCAATCAATCACCAATACATCTATATCATCAGATGGCGCCTTCCCCACGATAATGTTGGCAGGTCGAATATCGAGATGATACACTGACCTTTCATGTGCAGCCGTTAGGGTAGCGTGTACCTTTCTCATGACCGACTCCAGGAGCCCCTTGTCGTAGGGGGGCAACTTCCAATTCACGGAGTTTGTAGGCTTACCAATCATTCCATTGAGAAGTAGGCCAGAAGTCTCACCTACAAAGCCATTAAAATTGATATCGAAGATTTCCTCTGCCATGCACGAAGGAATATGGGGAACTTTTCCTTTTCCCTTATTCGATTCATTCAGCCGACTCAAGGTTTCTGCTTCGTCTTTCAGCGAAACAGATGCCCCATGGCACGATGGGATCTTTAGAAAATACCTGGACTGGTGCTGATGTGCGTGGTCAGTGTCAGTGTCAGTACCAGTACCGGCACCAAAGAAAGCTTCCCCCTTCAGAACTTTGTACACAATGCCAAAAGCTCCAAATCCCAAGCACTCCTTGATACATATTTGGGTAATTTCATCATTCCTTCCGCGTCCGTTTACTTTTTTCGCTTCTAGGGTGGCAATGTCATGTTTCACTTGGGACAGTGTGTAGCTGGCGCTTAGCGCAAGTGCTAGTAGTTCAAGACCGTCTTCGGACAATAAACCCACTGGCGTAGTCTTGCTCCATGAAATCCCAACTTGGTCCGTTCCTACGTTTTGCAGCGATGCCTTGACGATAGAGATTTTGGACAAGGACATGGCAACTCCGTAGAGTTCGCAATCCGCACCAATTCCTAGAAAATTGAACTCAACTCGAAGCCGCTTTGCAAAGTTTCCAACTATTTGCTTCACCGCAAGGTCAATCAACTTCTCGTCCTCGGAGTCATCTTTCCCACACTTCTTCACTTCGACAATGCCTTCAATCATGCTTGGAAGGGCGAATAATATGTGCTCTCGAATCTCATGGACCAAGAAATCCATAATACGGTCGCTTTCTCCTCCATTTTGACCTCGTGTTCTCTGCTCTTTGGACACATAAAGGCTACGCAGACCAACAATGTCGAGCACACGATACATGAGGGCATGAAGTATAGGCTGTGCAACAGTAGTCTCCTTCAAATGCCGGATCTCCAGCTTTTGGAAACTTGAGCCTACACCGTCATTGAGAAACTTAGAGTCAAGGATTGTTGTTACAATCTTGTTCACATGATTCATTTGAAGGTCATCGCCAGCATTACTAGCGGCTTCGTCGGTACCAGGAGCCGACGGTGGTTCCAAACTCAGCAGTTGATGAAGCTCCTTTGCCAGAGTTATCAATGAGATCGTGTATTTCTTGCGCTCGTTGCTCGTCCAACCGGACTTCGCCTTCAGTTCCGTGACAAATTCAATCTCACTCACCGCGGAGAAAAGACTTGTTTGTTTCTTAGCCTCTGTAATCCCACGAGAGTCATATTTATTTGTGGAACTCTTTTGCGTTGATTTCGATTTCGTTTCGTTGCCCAGGGTGGCATGCCAATTGAGGAGTGTTTGAACATTTTGATGAGAAGAAGAGATTGCCGAGATGGTTCCATCCGCTTCTAAGATCAACCTTCCTTTCTTTTCTTCCAACTTTCCTTTCTTTTCTTCCAACCTTCCTTTCTTTTCTTCCAACCTTCCTTTCTTTTCTTCCATCACCTGTCTCGTGAGCTCTATTAGTTTGCGCTTTTGACTCAAGCTACCAGTTTCAGAAGCTTCATCGTTACAATTCTCAATGCTTGCCGATTCTTCATTATGATTTGCTTCTTCGTTGTGTAGTTTTCCTGATTCTTCATTATGATTTGCTTCTTCGTTGTGTAGTTTTCCTTTCTCTATCTTCAGTTCTTCCTGCTCCATCTTCACTCCTTCTATTGCAATCTGAACTTCTTTCATCTCACTTTGCAGGACTTCCAACGAAGTTTGCCACTCCTGCATGTATTGAATAAAATGATGTTGACTTGTATCGCTGGCGGCATCAAAAGCGATCTTGAGCATCGACTGTACGTTGATAATACTCGCCTCCTGAAGTGTAATAGTATCACTAGACAATAGTGACAGCGACTTCCAAACTTTCTTCCGCTGATCCCAGTTTTCTACCGTTGAGTAGGGAGAATGAGAAAATTTCTTTTCTGTCATGGAATCCTTCCTTTCTTGGTCATCATCATTATATCATCGTCTCGGGGAAGTATATTCAATACATAGATATCGCAAGGACGCGCCTGAATTTTGTGTCTGTTTTTTGCTCGTTTGCTCGTTTGTTCGTTTGTTCGTTGTACTCGTAGATGCCCCTACTGGTACGGTACCCTCATGACTCATGACATAAAAAATTCGAAACCTTGTGTGACCGGCGCGCGGTTCCATCGTTGTTTAGAACCTTTTGAACCAATGAGAATTACGGATGTCTGATTCTGGCGAAGGATTGAAAATCTGCAAAAAACAATCGTCAGATCCATCCATCACTTTCCAGAACCCTTGCAATTCATCACCTCATTGTTTCCATTTCCATTTCCATTACATCTGGACATCTTATATCCAAAGAAATCATGACACTCTCAACTCTACTGCTCTGTCTATTGCCTTTCACTTCACAATCTTGGATGACAACAAGCCCAAGCTTACCAATAAGACGATCGGCCTTTCAATTGAGCTACAAAAGCAGCAAAAGTGATGACTCCATTCCCATTATTGACGTGGAAGTGGTAGAAGGAAACGATCATTCCTTCAGTAATAGAGCAAGCGCTCCCTCTTCTTCGTCCTATTCCGCTCCTTCTTCTCCTTCATCGCCCGCCGACTCTCACAATATGCGACGAAATGAAATTCTGATTCCTGACACCCTGTTTGCGAATGGACCACCTTCCTATTCGCAACAGCATCAGCATCAGCACACCTCCTTTGCCACTTGTGACCAAAATGGAGGATATAATACCTATGAAGGAGCCATTCGAGTTATGCAGTGGGAAAAGCAAGTGGGAGACACAATTCGAGCTGGAGAGACCATTCTTTACTGTGAGGGAGAAGAATCATTAATGGGAGCTTCTTCCAATATGAGAGTAATGAAGGAACTAATTGCGGAACAAGATGGTATTCTTAAAGAAATTCGAATTCCTTCTGGACCAGTCTCTCTTCATACAGCTCTAGGGATCATTGAGCCGCTCGATATCATGGATGTGGAAGTAGAGACTGCATCTACACAAGAATACCAGAAGGAGCAACAACAAAAGGCTGAGGCAGAAGCCGAGAGGGAACGAAAAGAGCAACTTCGGCTTGCTCAGGAGCAAGAACGCATTCGCAAGGAACAAGAAATGTATCGACCCAAAAAGAATTGGTACGATATGAATGCTTCTGGAGATGATGATGACACGTCTTCCTTTGAAAACCTTCAGAAAAAACGATTGGACAAGCGCAACAAAAAGTTGGAACAGCTTGAAGTAGAAAAGAAGAAAGAGGAAGTTGAATCTGTCTTGGAAGAAGGCCCAGTTATTGACGAACTTGTTGCCGAACGAGAACGACTAATTGCTGAATACAAGGCTGAAGCCGAAAAGAAGGCAATGGAAGCTCGCCAAAAGGCCGAAGAGGAAGCCCGTAAGGAACTAGAAGCCTTTCAGGAAGAAGCTCGACGAAAGTACAAGGTCGAGGCTGAAAAGAAAGCTGCCGAAGAACGGGAAAAGGCCGAGGAAGCTGCTCGTCAGGAATTAATCACCTTTCAAGAGAAACTGCGATTGGAAACCGACCGCAAGACACAAGAAGCCAAGCGCAAGGCGGAAGAAGAAGCCCAAATGGAACTCGAGAAGGTCAGAGCATCCATCTTGGAACAATCCGAACTAGCCAAGCAAACCATCCAGGCGGAACAGAAAGCCATTGAAGCTCGAATCAAGTCCGAAGAGGAAGCAAGAAAAGAATTGGAAGCTTTTCAAGAAGAAGCCCGACAAAAGTACAAGCTTGAAGCCGAGAAGAAGGCTGCAGAAGAGCGAGAAAATGCCGAAAAAGCAGCTCGTCAGGAATTGATTGCCTTTCAAGAACAGTTGCGATTAGAGACCGAACGCAAGACTGAAGAAGCCAAACTGAATGCAGAAGTGGAAGCTCAGAAGGAACTCGAAAAGGTCAAAGATGCCATCTTGGCCGAGCAGAAATCAAACAAACAACTTGAAGCCTTTCGGGGAAAGGCCGAGGCCGCCGCTCGTCAAGAACTAAAGGCATTCCAAGAGCAAGCCAAGCGCGAAGCAGAAGAGGCCAAGCGAAAGGCTGAACGAGCCATGCAAAAGGAACTCCAACAAATACGAGCACAAGCGAAACTCGAAGCCAAAGAAGCCAAGCGAAAGGCCGCAGAGGAAGCCAAGGCTGAGCTCGAAAAAGCCAAGGCTGCCATTCTTGAGCAGACCAAATTGGAAATGGAGTCCATCGAGCAAAAGGCTCAAGAAGAAATCAAGCACATGAGATTGCAAATTGAAGCACGAACGCAACAAGCTCGCATCAAGGTCCAAGAAGAGGAAACCCAACAACGTGAACTAGCACTCTTCCAAGCCCAAGTCGAAGAAGCCAGGCGTCTTGAGCTACTAAGAATGGAAGCCCAAGCCCAAGGTCTGGCCGATGATGTTGGCTTCGATGAAATGTACGATGATGACGACGACGAGGAGGAGGAAATGGATGAGGACAACTTTGACTTTCCCGAGTACAATGCTCGACCTACCAACACTACGCAAAGATACTCCCTTTTCTATTGAGAGTTTAAAAGTGGACGATCATCAGAGAAAAGAAACTGCAGCTGCAGTGCCTTGCAATATAAGGAATGCAATGGCAACTTGAGGACAATCATAATAACTTCCATACATTACAATAGTCCTTAGCGCATAATTCAAATCAAACCAAATCAATACTGTATATCCAAGTAGTTTTGCCTTAGATTGTTAGGTTCGTATGTTCACGATTGTTCTACTGATATATATCGAATTCTTGAGGATTTTGCTATTATTGCTGTGTTGAACGACAAGGGTGGCAGCTGTTTTCGTTGCCGTGAAGACAGCCTGCTTACAGTTTACTTCCTGTGCACCATACTCTTCTTGTTGTAATGTTAATACCATGGTACATCTTCCCTTGGCGTCGGACGCCTCGCTTTGGGGTGATCAGATTTTGACTCCTACCTCCTACTATACTACTAGCGGCATTATTGATTGGGAATGATGGGAGTATTTCTCTCTTGCTTTCTGTCGCTATCAAGGGCAGACCATTTATATAATATCACTCCAAGATAGCAACGATTGATTCATTCATTCAACGACTTGCAGACATTTGCATCGTTTTGAGCTTTGACAATTTTCCTTCCATCATCATTTTTCGCAATCGAGGAATCATGTTGCGAATGCATCTCTTGCATTGATTGATGGAGGAATAGAGAAGCTTCTGTGGCGGTGCTGGTGTTGATGACATGTTGCTACCGGTACAATGAAACGGAAAGGTAGAGTGTTGGAACTTCTTGGATGACAATGCTCAGTATTAAGTTCGAATGCGTACCGGTATACGAGTATATATACGTTGGCGGGGGGTGGAATGAATGTCGTACCGGTACGTGCGTGTACGTGAAATTTGACAAGGAAGTGAGTGGCTCGTTTCTCGTTTCTCATTCGACGTCAGTCCATCCGTCATACCGGTAGGAGACTTTTGTGCAATGATGCGATTGCACATTGACTTCAAGTTGTGCTACAGTAGTGAACCACAGTCAAAGGATTTCGGGGCTTCAAAGTCCTTCGTGAGACAAACCAATCCTAAGTAAGTGTGAAAATGCACTTTGTGCGATCAGAATCTGTGATCTTGATTGGAACTTTGTACTTATCCGCAAGATACTTTTAACCATTTCTCACATAATGGTTGTAAATGCTCCTTAAAATCCTAAATATCTCCGGAGTTTGGTTGTTAATTGACATATTAGTCCGAATCTAATTGAATCACGAACGGCCCTGCCGGAAGTGCGAAACGCTAGTAAAAAGGAAGAAGTTTCTCACAAATCCTAAAAAAAATCCTTCCCACAATAGCGAAAAGATGGAGGTTGTCAATAATCTCAATCTCAATGAATCCCACGACATGAGTGATCCCGATGAGGGCTTCTACCCAATAAAGAGCAAGAAGCCTTACAGCAGAAACAGTGAATACACGGAACGAACGGAACGTTGTTCTGACTTTTCGGATTTCTCACCGGAAGGTTTGGGTGAAATTGGGTTTGCCTTCAAGGATAATAATAATGATTCTGCTCGCACTCGTTCTACTGCTTCTAATTCTACTCGTCTCAGTCTATCAGGTCGTTATGACTTTGATATTCAGAACGAGAATGAAGAACTCAAGTCGGAACTAAGCACTGTCAAGGCCGAGCGAGACTCGTTGAAGACGCAAGTCAGTGTCATGAGCTTGGAAATGGCGAGGCTGCGAGAGCAACTCCGATTGAAGGCTCAAGAGAACAAGGCTGCTCCTGCGTCGGTTCAAGAACCTGTCGCCGCTGCTGCTACTGTTCCTGCTGTTGGAGAAACTAGCCAGCAACAATCTCCTGCTGTCAAGCGAGGTAGCTTGTTGGGACGTATCTTTAAACGCAAGACATCCAAGCAGAATCTCATGGTGGAGGATGACGAGGAACTTCCATTGGATATTTCTCTTATTCCAACCAACTCTGCTCCTGAGAGTCCCAAGAAACGTCGCAGCATGCTGAAACGAATCTTTAGTGGAAAGGGAAAGGATTTGGAGTCCATCGATGCGGCATCCGAATTCGTGTCGGATGCCGATGGTCAAGAAACAAATGAGCCTCAAGAAGAGCAAGAAGAAGGACAAGAAGGCACAGTTCAATATGTGGATTGGAAGCGCGACCCTTTGCCGCAGGATCAAGAAGAGCCTGCTCAATTCTCTCGCGTTACCATGGCCGGATTCATGAACAGCATTTCCGAAGAAGAACCTGTTCAAGATCTGGAATGGAAGCGAGATCCTTTGGAGGTCGTCAACCTGCCCAAGGTCCAGGAGGAAGACCCGGTGCATGCCTTCACTTGGAAGCGCATGTCCACCTTGTCGCAAGCCGTAATGGACGAAGACAGTGATATGGACTCGGTCGATGAGCCTTTGACACTAGAACCTACTTCTACTATTAGCACGATCGTGAGTGCTGAGGACAAGACCCAACAAGAACCGATTCATCATATTCAGTGGAAACGAGTGCCTGCTACTCTAATCTTTCAATGGAAACGCATTCCTTCCACTCGTAGAGTGATGACTATTCCAGAAGACGAACCCGTTCAGTACATCAAGTGGGAACGTGTACCGGTCATTCCAACCATTGACATCAAGTGGGAACGAGTGCCGGTTACTCCAACTATAAACATCAAGTGGGAACGCATTCCTTCCACTCGTGTGATGGATCCTGTCATCGCCGAGGACGAAGCTGGTCAAGACATCAAGTGGGAACGTGTCAGATCCATCCCCACCATGCCCAAGGACGCCAAACCAGTACCAGAGATCCATTGGTACCGGGAACCTGCTAGGACACACACTGTGCAATGGGCACGTGTTACTGCACCGGCTAGTCCGCAAAAACCCAATAAGCCCATTTTGAAGTCGGCCCTCAAGTCGGCTCTCAAAACGAATAAGTTTAATAATAAGCCGAAGAGTGCCGTCAAGTCTGCTGGATTCAGTACGGATGAGCCTCCGTCTGCTGCTGCATCTGCTGCTCCGAAGAAGAAGCGTGGAGTGATGATCCGCGAATCCATCAACGAAGTGAATCGGGTGTCCAAGATTCGGGGATCGGCTTGGGATAATTGCTTTTTTACCGAAGAGGAATTGGGGGATTTCAAGTATGCTGCGTTCTTGGAAGAGTGTGGGTTGACCGAGGAGGATTTTTAAAAATATGGGATGGGAGTTTGTATACCGCGTGTGCGATCTCTCCGCTTTTGTGAGAGGATGTTTGATCCTCCAACAGTTTTTCGTTGTTTTCAACTTGACAAATACAATCGGATACAGTAGTAATAATACAATGATAATAAGATAACAATAGATGAATCAATTTGCTCTGCATATCTGTACATGTAAAAATGCTCCTATGTGTACTATGCTTTTATTTTGATTTAGCCTTTGGTAATCTTTTTCATTGTAATGTCAAAGTACAATGTTGCATTGGGAGGAATGTCGGGAGAAGATCCTCTTTTCCCATATCCCAAACGGCTCGGCACCACTAATTTTCGTTTGCCTTGGATGGACATTCCTATCAGACCTTGATCCCAACCTATATATATCACATATATTAGTATATTTTAAATAGTGTAAGTGTGCATGCGGTTATACTCGAGAGTACAGCATTCCAAAACAACTAAGCACACAAGCATGTGCTTGATTCCAAGTGGTTTCACTTACCTTTGATTACATCACCAGCTCCCAATAGAAACTCAAAACTCTTGGCCGAATCAAACATCGTCTTGTCTTCCAATCTTCCAACGTATTCCACATTCACAGTGTCACCTACTTCCGCTTTTTCATCTCCAGTTCCTTCTTGAACATCTTCAATCTGCAATGGCTCTCCCTCCGAAGGCATTGCCTTTGGAGGATCTTTGGCAACGACAAAGGATTGTCCCTTTTGAGTCAATGTGCCATTTGAGACGCCCTTTTTGAGTGCCAATTTGATTTGAGAAGCATTCTCGTACTCGAATTCCGACTTTAGGTATTTGGTGATGGACACTCGGGAAACTGCTCCGGATTGTGTGGGCGGTGAAGCGCGGATGGCATCCACAATTTTATCCAAGACAGAAGACTTTTTGGCTTTCTTGGGTGGCATGATGAATGTAATGTTTTATTGCATGGTAAAATGCGATGCGATGCGATGGCGATTATGATAACACGGTGTATTTTATGTTGCGCGGTAGTCGTGAGTCAGTCATGCGAATCAAACTGCATGTTGTGTATCTTAGCGCATGCCATATGTTCAATATCAGATTATTATTCCACTACACATTACTTATATTATCATTGCCCTGATGCTGTGCATATACATGCCTGTCCGTCTTGACTATAAATAGCTTGTCTACAATACTGTGGTAGGTACTGGCGTCTTTAAAATGGCAGCTATCCTGAAGAACATTATCGAACGGATGCTATACCAGTGGTCTCGGCTAGCTCGATTTCTTTTCAAATACAATGTACCTTGCAATGATCGCTCGATCATAGATAACTACGGCTAGTGTGTTATTGTTCCACCTATCTATCCCTACATACAATCTAGTACTCATGCTACACTGCATCGGTTTCCATCGCGTCAGCTACAGACTCTTCACTCTCAGCAAAAGGAGGTTCCTCGCCAAAGAATGTCAACGGCACGCTTTGCCTGTACGGTCGGGGTACGTCAATAACAAAGTCGCGGAACTCCATGAGGTGATTATTGCAAGCGGCATTCATGAGCTTGGTGAATCCAAGTCCAGTCAAGACGATACAGGGAGACCTGTCTTCGTGACGTACGAGAGCGTAATGTCATTGCACTGCTTTCTACCCAACCAATTTTCTCTTCGTCCCCATCAATGGCAAATAAAACAGCAGGCCAGTCCAAACTCATCTGCGCTTTCTGAAATTCTTCCTTTTCCTCTTTCGTAAGATAGTATTGTGGTGTAACTTTGCGATGCGTCGCCTCGTTCGACACTGCCTGTAGGTTGCTAAAAGAATCTCCTATCCGGTTCTTGTCTTGTCCCACAAGAGCCTTAAACTTGTCGGACCCTAAGTGTACAGGAATCAACCAATCAATACCCTTGTGAGCATCATCTACTACAAGAGCAGCTGTTCGTCGATATGCACAGCGAAGTAGATCTGGAGTGATTTGTTTCTTGGACCCTGTTGACTTTGGGTATGCTTGAGTTGTAGCAAATGATAGGTAAATTATCAGACGGACGTTTCCTTGATCTTGTTCCGCCAATTCCAAGAGCAGCCTCGATTTCCCATAGCCAGAGCCCTAAAGGAATGGTGAAGAAAGGAAAATATCGTTACTCGTTTTGACGAAACAACTTTTCCTGCTTTGTACAGCTATAGGTGTCTCCCGAAGCTGTCTTTCAAGTTGTTGTTATCATCGAATGGAGTTTGAAAGGCCGTTTTTGCCTTGTCAAGGTAAGTGGCAACAGTAGATGCGTTTCTTTATGGTAAGATTTCAGGATCTGCTTCCACGTCCTTTCAATGAAGGAGACAGAAATTCCTTGAAAGGCATTGGCGTCCAATATATAACTTCTTCATTGCGGTGTAAGCAAGAAACGATACGGCAGATTGCTGATGCAATTCATCCTTGTGAGTCTCGAATGAATACAAAAGAGCATCGACGAGATTTTCACGAAAATTGTATCCCTGCAATGCACGAGAAGCTTCGTCCTCGGATAGGAGAGTTTCAATGATTGCCTTCATGCTGAAGATAATACTATGGGTGGATGGAGGTTGAACCAGTCATATATATATTATGCGAATCAACTCTTGCCACCACAGATATATATAAAATATATACATACCGTTTATCCGGCATTCAATAATACACGCGCACGCATACACCATCTTCGGTTGTAAGCTTCGCGTTTTATAAAAAAGAAATTTAGCCAACGGATTTTTTGATGACACACTCGCTCACACAACACAAAATCTCTGCTTTTGGGAACACACACAACAACTTCTGCGATAGAAGCGAGATTGATTCATTCATTCTTTCAACAGACACAACACGCACCGATCAAGTTTACAATCCAGTTAATCATGGCGTGGGGCAAAAAGAAACGCACTCCTTGGTACTCTCCTACCTCCTATATTCCGTCTCATCGTACCCGTCAAAAGTACGAGAAGATGATCCGTTACTCGGCGTGCAAGAATTTGGCCTATGCTTCCAAGAACGCACCAACCATTGGAGCACTCCTTCTTGGAATGATTTGTATACTTCTTGCCAAGAGAATTGCACACAAGTTGCACATTTCCCGCCTTCGATGGCAATACAACTATGGTCGCCGAGCGCGATACGTCAGTGAGACCCTCTTCTCTCCCTTTAGCGCCAAAAAGGGGAAGAAGAAATCTTCTCGGCGCAAATCCCACTTGAAATACAGTCAAAACTACCAGAAGGCGGAAGAGGATAAAATTATTCCTTACAACAATGTCCTTGGAGTTTTTGCCCAATCCAAAACTCCTCCACCACGAAAGATCCACCAAAAACATCAGGTCACTCCAGAAGACAAGGAGAACTCGGAAAATGGTTCACTGCGGGCGCGAAGAGGAGCGGAAGGACGAAGAACACTTCAAATCATGCAGTGAGATTCGAATGCATTAGGATGTAAATACTTCTCGAGATGCCTTCGATGCCTCCAAACACAAAACGCTTCCATGATAGATGTCGCCTTGTGACGAATGATATCATGATGCACCGTCACCATCGACTGCAGAATGAAGGAAGTTTGCGGCTTCAACTTCCCGACTCATACAAGACTAGAATCACAATAATAGGAAGTGTGTGGAAGCAGTAACATGCTATAGAAACAATTTCATATATACCTTATATCACTAGGCATATCGTCAGACGTAGACGTGCCATGCGGTACAATACATTCCTCCTAAATATTACCATTGATTCATTCATTCACATGTGACATCAAAGCACTACGAAACGCCTCCATTCTGCAATTCGTCTCGTAATACCACGTCCTTGACTTTGGAAATCATGGTATTGGTCACTTCCCAATAGGATTCCACATAGCGATTGTCCAGGGAATCTTGGCCCCGATAATCCAAGGACCAAAAGGAGACAGAAGGAGACAGCGTCATCATTGTCAGTATAGTATTCACACCAAAAGACGCTTGGAGCATGGACACTGCCGGAAGAATGGATGCGGAAGCATATTGAATGACATCCACCAAGAGAACATTTTGTTGGGACCATGCTTGAATCGATATTTGACCTTGGTCCAACACCGCTAGACAAGTAAGATGGTATTGCTAGAAGGATACATTAGCCGTTGGGGTGCAGACGTTCAACAACGGCTATCATCTGATGGACTGAAGAAGTTTGGTGAGGATGGAAAGGATGCTGTGGATAAGGAATTGAGACAAATGCTCCTGAGAGATTGTTTCACTCCCGAATTTGTTAAAGACATGACTGCGTTTGAGCGAAAGAAGGCCC